TAAAACAAATCGACTTCCTCACAAACGCTTTCGCACTAAGCGCTTCATTTGGATAGATTTGATTGGAGTTTGATTATCCAACCATTCAGCTCGGCAACTAAATTATCTGGCAGTCTTTCCTATTTCACGACAGTTAGTGATTTAATTTGAAGTCATTTATTTTATCTGCTGCAAAAGATTTTTTGAGTAAAGGAATGGTAGCGAAATAATAAGAGAGTTGAGCTTATCCGAATGATACAAATGACCATCTTATAGGTTCTGATAATTTTCCCATTTCGTTAACTTTAAGCCAAAGTATTAGTAAGTACAAGCAAGTACTTTTAAAAATTATTTCACTCATTCCTAATTCTTCGTCATTTCTGAATTTTTTTTCAAAAAAGGAAAAAAAGAAACCTGAAATTATCTTCAGCAAACCTTGGAAGCATTTAGGAAAACTGAATGTATCGTCAGTAAGCATTTTCGTAATTAGTGTTGTCATTTCCTTTTTGTGAGGAGTTTTCTTCCTATCGCTTTTCTTAAAGCCTCCTTTGTCAGTCCAATAAACCGTTTATAAACGCCACCACCCCAAGGCGCTCGTGGAATTGTGTTCCTCCAAATCATACCTTTTCCGCCTAGGAAATTGGCTTTTTCGTCCATTATTTTTTTGAACACTAGTTGAAATTGGCTGGCATTGTCGCTGAGTATTAGTTTTGGATATCCTCTACGGGCAACGAATCTTCTCATAATATGCGAGAAATTTTCAGCGGATAAATCTTCAACCAGTTCAAGATGAACTGCCCTAGTTGTAAAACATGTGAAGAGGGCGATCCATCTTTTTATTACCCCAGTAGGCGATTTAATCGAAAGGGGGCCCAAATAATCTAAACCTACCTGCTCGAATGATCTTGATCGCATTACTCGTGATTCTGGTAAGCTTGGCATCAGTGGCAATTTGAAGGGTTTTGCTTTCCATCGCTTCCAAGCCATGCATGAGGATATTGTTCGTTTTATTTGGCCCTTCATTTCGGAATCCAAAATCTGCGCCTTATTGCAGATAAGGTGTGCGCGACACCAGCATGGTACAACCTATCATGTTGTTGCCAAATGATGAGTTTAGTTATATCGTTTCTATTTGGTAAATAAATGGGATATTTGCTTTCGTTATACAGTTCTGAATTTTCTAGTCGACTGTTGGATCTCCACAACTTGCCATTTCCTTGTTGGAAGAGATCCCATCTCTCTATTTCTTCACTCGTTAGGTTCTGTGATTGTGCCTGCCTGATTAATAATCACCCTGCTAAATTGTAATCATCTTTTGATATTTTACTACCTGTTATAGACAATGATTTTAGCCAAGGTATATCCCTTTTATAAAACCTTTTAATGAATCGAAGAGTCCAAACGGTTACTTTAATTATCTTAGTCCATTTACTAAAGCGGTGTGCTTCAATAAATTGAATTTTATCTTCTACATAATTATGTGTGGTAGTCTTCGCTAAATTTGTCATTACCGCTTGTATAATCTCGTCCTCTGCATTATAACTGAACCCTCCGTTAGGCCATTGTGATGGATCCTTATCCAGCCAGTACGGATCATTCCACCATAATCTGTTATAGCGAAGTTTGGTTGATGAAATTCCTCTTGTGGCCATATCGGATTGTTATAGCTTGGTACCATCTTATAGGTTCTGATAATTTTCGCATTTCGTTTACCTTAAGCCGAAATATTAGTAAGTATAAGTTAATACTTTTAAAAATTATTTCACTCATTCCTAATTCTTCGTCATTTCTGTAATTTTTTTTTGAAGTAAAAAAAAAAGTAAAACTAGAAATTATATTCAGCAAACCTTGG